CAACGATCAAAAATGAATTCTGTTTCAGTATAGCTGAAGTGATAACCTTGTTTTTGTGCCAATGCTGTGTTCCAAAATTACTAGTGATATCATAATTTTAGAGAACTATTCATAAATGTTTTAATTCTCATTTATATACATTCATAAAGTCTAGCCATAAAAACTCGTTCTCTAAATTGCCTTCTCTCACTTTCTAGGTCATATTGTTCACTGATCCCGTAGATGAATACCTCATGCAATATCTTATGGACTATGAGGACAAAAAGTTCCAGAATGTGTCTAAAGAGGGATTAAAGCTTAAGGATTCGAAAACCAAAGAGCTCAAGGAGTCATTCAAGGGGCTAACTAAGTGGTGGAAGACTACTCTTGCTAGTGACAACGTTGAAGATGTCAAGATAAGCAACCGTTTGGCCGACACCCCTTGTGTAGTGGTAACATCAAAATACGGATGGAGTGCATATATGGAGAAAATAATGCATTCACAAACCCTGTCAGATGCAAGCAAGCAGGCATACATGCGTGGTAAAAGGGTGCTTGAAATCAATCCTAGGCACCCAATTATCAAGGCACTTCGGGAGAGAGTAGTAACAGACCCAGAGGTACGTCGTGCCGCCGTGCTCTATCTTTTGTCAAATTCTAACTTCCTTAAGAGTTTCATGGAGTTTATATCTGACTGATTTATTTTGTTGCTTTACAGGATGAGAGTGTGAAGCTGACAGCAAAACTTATATACCAAACAGCTTTAATGGAGAGTGGCTTCGATCTTAGTGATCCGAAGGATTTTGCCTCCCACATCTACAGCTCAGTTAAGAGCAGTCTAAACATTAGCCCTGATGCAACAGTTGAGGAAGAAGAAGACGAAGCTGAAGAACCTGAGATTGAAACCAAGGCAGAAGAGGAATCTGCATCCGAAGAGTCTGAACTCAAGGATGAGCTATAGATAATTTCCTAAGATATGTTCTTTTTTCCCGGAAACAACACGTTGTTGTGCTATGTTTCTCAACACGTGAAGAATGTAGGAATAGTTTAGTTCATAGTTTAAACTTAAAGAATTTTGTCAGTCTTGCATTATCCTTGTTTTATTGTATGAGTTTGTCGGTCCGTGTAACAAATCTGGAAGGTCTTGTTTTTCCTAATTGGAACTGGTAAAAGCTCTAGTTTTCTAAGGAAACCAACTTTTAACGTATTACAATTGTTTTTCTTTCTAAATTTTACTGGAAAATAAGTAGTGCTTGACCATTATTTGATACTGTCGAATCAAAAATTAAAATGAATCAGAAATTATAATATGTACAAAATGTATGAGTCGTGTATACTCGTATTAATTATACTAAATATATAGCATATACTATACATACATAATCAATGTATATTTCAATCATATTAATAAACTAGTTGATCGAACAATATATATTCATAACTTTCCGGTGCTTTATATGCGATGGTCCTGTCATTCGACGAGGCGTCAGGTTTGGTTCATTGCTTTTGGGTAGGGGTGTACATTACCGGATTGGTTCGGGTTTTTCAAATATCAAACCAAACCATTTGTGTAAAAAATTTAAATTTATAAACCAAACCAAATTAATAAAACTCGGATTTTTTTGGGTTTTTCAACTTCGGGTTGGTTCGAGTTTTTCAAATACCAAACCAAACCAAACCAAACCATTGTGTCGAATTTTCAAATTTTTAAATCAAACCAAATATTAAACCTCGAATTTTTTCAGGTTTTTGGATTTTTCTGATGAAGCATGCATACAAACATATAATTAACTTGTGCTCCAAATATTTCTTTAGTCCAATCAAAATACAACTATCTAAGGTGTTTCTTAATAAAATAACATAAATTATGAGATGAGTGATGACACTAAAATATTCAATAAACAATAATAATGAAATCATCATATAAAATAAATAATTGCAAAGTCATAATGAAAATGATCATAATTCAAAAGTACTAAATCATGCTAAAATAAGTCTAATAAGTATTAGTTACATGATTAAACATTAAAGAACAAATAAAATTAGATTATGTATTTTAAATGTCTAAACCAATGTTTCTAAATAACAAATATTCAACATTATTGTCATTTTTAGTATTGAGTTAATTTATTTTGTTAGCATAGTATTGATTTGATTTCGAATTGAGCTTTATTAGAGTTACTAATAAGTAATATCTATGGATAACCTTTATTCGACCATTCAAAATTCTAAGTCTCAAAAAACTTGAAAAATATGTTAAAAGATAAAAATTATGAAAACGTATAAGTAATGCTTAGAAATTACATCAAAGTAAATACTTTTATGTATAAAATAAATTTTTTTTAAAAAAAATATAATGTCGGGTTGGTTTGATCTTGGGTTGACTTTTTTTAGTTAAAATCAAACCAACCCAAGCATAGTCGGTTTTTTTTTCCCAATACCAAACCAAGCTAAAACAAATCATTAGTTGAATTTTTTTTCCGATTTGACTCGATTCGCAATTTGATTCAATTTTCGATTCGATTTTGTACACCCCTACTTCTGGGCATAAACGGTACGGTTGGGCCGATATATGTGGTGGGAAGGAAAATGGGCCTTAGGGAATTCTCCACTGTTGCGAGGCTGATTTACACAAATATTCTTTTTTATACCACTATTTTGTTTTGTTCCTACTATAAATGTTATACAAATATAGCTCTTGGAAGATTATTCTTTCGAACTCCATAAAATTCGGGTTTAAGAGGTGGCGATCGATAGTGTTCCAAAGCGCCATAACGACGTGCATTAGAGTGTTATGGTTGTCAATCAAGATATCTTTGTTTTTCATGGAGAGTGTGGTATTGCAAACTTTCTTTCTTTGGATGACATTCTGACAAGACTTGGATATACGATACCATCAAGATTTTGGTGTTGTAATCGATTATATATTGTTCAATTCTCAAGATAAAATATTAGACAGAGGTATCTAATTTGGTATTAACTTGACATTTTCTCATAAATTTTGCTCAAAATGGATCTTATATGGTCTAAAAAATTGTCAAGCTGCTCTCTTAATTAATTAGCAAATTGTTCCTCTGTTGTTATATAAATTATACGTGTAAAATTACAAAGGGATTATTACACTAAAACAATACAAAATCCCTTTGTTAAAGTAAAAGAAAGAGCCATATGTTGTTAGTCCAAAAGTTTGTCTTGCTTTTTCTGCTTAGGTAAAATTAATATTTTAACAAAATAATTTTAAAGCTTAATCAATAATTCTTTCTATATGTAATAAAGCTTTAAGTAGATGCTGGGAATTGAAGAAGTTTGATTGGTGATGCTATAAATTTAAGAAGAAAATGACACCGAAAGTGAAAAAAGTGTAATTCTTTAGTGCATCTCTCATCAATTTAGAGCTGGACGCTTGGATCTTTTTTTTGATTCCTTTTTTATATTTTCTTTGCCTTTTTATTCAATTATTTTACTAGTGTGTCACCTTTTTATTTTCATTTTTTGGACTTTCTTTTTAGTAATTTAGGTGGAGTTGACTTGAAGACTTTAATTCTTAGAACATTGTATTATTTAAATCGGTTTATTTATGTTTTGTTTAATTTTACATTGAATAACTCGTATTCTCATGAGCAATGATCAAAGCAAGAAGCATACAAGATCAAACCAAAGCTCTCAAATGATGGGTAGAAGTGTATTTAGTATACATTACCAACTAGTAGTTAGCTGGAACTTATAATTAGTCATTAGATAGCATCTTCTTCCATGAATAACCAAACCATAATCACAACTAATCACATTTTAAATATATATATAGAGAGAGAAATTCTATAGATTCATTATTATTAAAAAACATAAATCATATATTAGCTTATTTTATATCAATTATTGTTTGATTTCAATGAGTTCGTATTGAGATAGACAAACAAAAGGATAGTTGGATGTATATCTAATTAGTAGAATGGATAGCTCGGGAGTGAGATTAAGAAAATAATACTAAGTAGTGAGAGCATGTGTGGATCGCTTCTTAATTTAATATATATTTTTTTCTTTATGTGTTGTATATTAATTCAAATTTTGAAGTGGAAATATTCGGGACGAATCCCAAGTACATAGTACTTTTCCTTTTATTATATCTAGCATGACACGAATTTAAATTAGTAAATCAATTGATTCTCGATATATACTTAATGGCTATACCAAAAAAAGAAAAAACGGATATATTAATATTAATGTTTTATAGTTTGTTTGATAAGTAAATAATTCAAGATTTGATATGAAGAATCATTTGTTCTGTTTAGCATTTTGGATCTACATTGGACAATAACATATCTGCTGGGGGCCAACATGCACTACTTAGAAAATAAAATATTAGCGAAAGATAAAATTTCATAGTTAAATAATAAAAATTTCATGATATATAATTTTATTTAACGATGGATTAATAATGGTCAATGAAGTATAAGAAAAATCTATTAGTAGCTAAGATTTTTAAAGTTTTTTAACGGCAAATTAACAAAAAAAATTGTAGCTAATTTCATATTTTATTTATAATGATAGATTCCATCTTATATATATTAATTTGTAGCCAAAAAATACTGTAACACTTACATTACAACTACCAAGTTAACAATTTCAGTAAAGTAGTTGGGGTCAGCTTAACCAAAAACCAACCAAAGTACCAACTATTATGCTCAAATAAAGCAAAGTACTAAGTACTTTTTTCTCATTTTTCTGAATCAATTCCCAATGTTTACGATACTTTCCTCGTTTCATAATAAGTGTTATTTTTAGTTTGTAATTGTTCATCCTCAAAAAGTAAAATACATATAATTACTAACAAATCCTTAATAAATATTTTGAAAAAGAAGTAATTCTTAATAGGTTTTTAGTAAAATACCTTGTTGATTACACGAAACACCACTTATTTTAAAATAAAAACATCATTTATTATGAAATAGAGCGAGTACAAATTAAAGAATTTAGGAAAGCTAAGAATGTAAAATTCAATAAAGATATATCCTTTTCTGAATCTTACAAATGTTCCTAGATGTTCTCTTTAAAAAAAAGTGGTACAAAAGCAAATGTGAACACTGCAATAATAAGTACTACTTTGAGAAATTGCAAATTAAATCTCTATACATATGAAACCTAAAAAAATGTGCTTTACAAGAAGAAGAAAAAAAATCATCAGCCTTTTTTTTTTTTCTTGATCTTCTTCAAATGTGAATATCTCAAGTCACCATCAAAATGTAGAAATTAAATTGGAAAAATTAAAATATTAATAAAAAGTGAAGAAAAGAAAAGATTAAAAATGCAATTTTTATGTCAAAATAAGAAAAATTTGTTCGTGATGAGTCCCCCGTCATAAAATCCGGTAACCATGAACTGCCAAATGGAAATGGATCCTCCGCCGGACTAGAACCCGACCCGGACCCGCCATTTCCGATAGAAAATCCTTTTCCGTTGCCGTTCAACGGCGAAGAGTCTCTCGATGATTTTTGACTGCAAGCAAATATAAAGTCTTATGAGATTTAAATCTTACTTTAAATAAAACGACATGTATAATAAATAATAATAATTTATATCATCCCAATTTATTGCATGAAACTCACGTCGTTAAATGCAATAATACATTAATTTGACATTTTTATACTTAAATAACAATAATAACATAGTTAATGTAATCTTACAAATGAGTCTGAATAAGGTAGAGTATGTTACGGGGATGAAAACATTTTTTTCGATAGATTAGTGACTCAATATGATAGTTAATACATATATGATATCGAAAGCTTTATAAAAGAGCTTTCCAAGAAAATTATGTCGTTTGTTGTGATGTAATACTAACAAGTTTATCCAGTTAAAAGAATAAAGTGTAAATGGACATTTGAGAAAAAAAAATAATCAAAAGAAGATAGTATTTCATTTGTTCTACGGAAGAAAAGGTGGGAAAAAAAAGAGACAAAAATGTTCAAGATAAGATAACAAAATGAAGCCACTAAAAGATTCTCTATATTAGTAATTGCCAACTAATACTACTCTTATATTCTTTAATACTCTCACTAATATTCTATTAATTTTCTTAATTAAAAAGTAACAACTCATCTAACAACCACGAAAGTCACTAATCACCCATCTTAAATAGTTGTCCACCTCAAAAAATAAAGTTAGCAGATGTATATAATATATGTATATATTATGTATATTTGTTAGAGGTTGTAAATATTTTTGACTGAGCGATCAAGACGAATAGATAAATTATCTTTCTGACACAATAAAAGACAATATTGTCCTACACTTCATCAAGACGAAGATCAAAGGGACAACTTGAAATATGCTCTAAAGTAGTACAGTAATATCTACTCAGCCTTGTGCTACAATGAGCTAAAAGCTAGTTAGGAAAAAAAAGGATTTCCAATTACAAAAAAGCAATTTTGATTCAGAATAACACGTCATTATTACATACTTTTATTACTTTATGAATAAATCAACGGACAGCGACAATGATAAAAATAAATAAAAAGGTAGTAATAAAGTAGCAGAATAAAATTTGAATAACAATATTACGATAAAAATAATATTTTTTAAAAATTTATTATTATTTTTACCTTGTTAATGAAGGACAGAATGTTATCGTATAATCAGCTCCGGTACACGTAAAAGTACTCGTAGGATCATCGTATGCGTAGCTATACGATTTTGGGCACGCGTTTTTAAACATCGCCGAGTAGCTAGACGGCTTACAGGTGGAAGGTGAACCGTACGCGCCGCTGCAACAATATTCAGGGGTACCAAATGCTTCACATGCACTTTTGCATGCTTGCCCATCCCCGACCCGTAACTCATTCGGGCACATTCGGTTCAAATCCTTGGCACAACCCATTGTCTCGCATGGACCCGACCCGCCAACCGCTTGGATTGCCATTGGTAAATTGTATCCGTCAACTAAGCTAATATCGTAGAAATCTTGCTTCACACCTGTTGAAAATATAATTCAAATTTTACTATCATTTATTATGATTTTTTTTACGTGCTTGCATGAGAGTTGTTAGATAAGATGATTGTATAATTCAACGTACCTGAGAAAATAGTGAATTCCGCGAGGGTGGCTGGGGGAGTTGCTCCGGCACCATTGCATTCCATTTGGTTTGATCTACAATCGCCGGTGGCACAATTTCCTTGACCGGTGTTGGGATCAAAATTACAACCGGTTCGACCCCAGATCCGACCCGACCATTGTTGTGGAGGTTGGAATACCCGTGAATCACCCGGGGCAAGTATGAACCCGGTACTATCCAGTTTGTCACTACCTGCATTGGCTAATATTCCGGGCCATACGTTGTAGTCACATCTGTTTATTAAATTAAAAGTAGTACCATCAATTCCTGCGAAAGAAAATAATCTGAATTAGTGTCATCGATAAAAATATGATAACAATAACATATTCAGTGTGTTTGACAAGTGTGATGATCTAAGAAGGATTAGAATATATGTATGTAGATCAACCTTACCTCTACCCCGAGAGGTAGAGAGGTTATTTTCGATACCATCAATAATATGATGATTATATGAAATGTGTAGCACATATATTGTACGTACCGTTGTTGTTGGAGAAGAAAATGAAGATGAAAAGAATGAAGGAAGAAGAAAATGATAATTTTGAGGACATTATATTTAGAGAAAAATATTGAATGATGAGAAACTAATTAAGTGGATATATATATTTTGTGTAGAGGAATTAAGGAGTTGGAGAAAGGGAGTTTATGAGATGATCATAAAAGGCTATAAATAGAAGAAGAGTGATGGGGATTGGTGTTGGTGTTGGGTGTGTTAATAGTTAGTTGTAGTAGTACTATATATTAATTAATTTCCCATAAAATAAACAAGTAATCAACTATGGTATGCTTCTTTTGGGAGTTTTAAAAAAAGAAAAGGAAAAGGCTTTTGGTTTATTTTGTTTTGTCTCCCATTTATTTATAGTATTCGTATTGGAGCTAGATTGATTCAGATTCATGTAAAATCTATTTAAAAGAAATATTCTTTATCAAAAAAAAAATTCATATAAAAAACTCGATAAATCAAAACTTCTGACTAAGAGAAGAATAACTCAATCTACTGCATGACGGTAAAGGGCTTTTGGTTACGTGAATGATCAGAATGAGAAAGAAAACAGTTGTAGCAGTTAAAGAGTGGAAAATGAAAGAGTGGAAAGCTATGAACTGACAGAGTGGAAATGTGTAATATAATTATATTGGAATGGATTTAAGTTATTTACATAGTAAGTAGAATATTATTAGAATTTAGATCACTAAAAGAATATTTATAAAGTTTTCTTAAAATTTAAAATTCATAATCATGAAAATAAATTAAAATAAGTTATCTTCTAGAATATTAAAAGTTTCCTAGTAGACTCAAAGGCGAATTCAAAATTTGAAGACTTCGGGTGCATCAATATTACCTTAATTAGCTCAAATATGAGCTCTAAGCTAAGCTTAAAACAAAAATAATGAAAAAGGGTTTTAGCTGGATTTGATCCCTACTCTGAGGATGATTTCTCTAGCTTTTACCATCAGCAAAACGACAATCCTATACTTTTCATGAGTGCATTGTTATCTATATCCTAATTTCTGCCAATTTCTCAAAATAAATATACATATGATATTTTCCAATGTTAGTGGGTGCACATGCACTCTTTCCTAAAGGTGTTGGTCCGCCTCTGTCGGTAGTGTAAAAGTTCTTTATATGCAACTTAAACTGGAATGGATATATATATATAAATGTGTGATGCTAATATCACCTAACATACATTAGACCTCGCTGGTAGAACTATACTGACTATATTATATATTTGAAATGTAAATGAAAAAAAATCAGGGATATGCCTACTTTTGGTCTAGTCCCTTCTACTCTATATATAATATATACTTTCTTATTCCATTTTAAAAATAATTTTCAATGATTTTTTTTATAGAATTTATGAAAATGTACCACTAGATATTTGTGTAAATGGTTCAACTTTAAGTAAAGTTATCTGTTGTAACTTTTATAGTAGGCTAAATCACATTGGTTAATTACTCACTTTTTGCAACCAAAGCAACGTAACGACAGCAGACCAAAAAAAAATTACAAACCAAAATTTTATAGATCATCATCACATTTGACATAAAGTTTTCATTATGTGAACCAAAACTTTTATTAGTTAAAAAAAAACAGAGATAAGCTAAAGTTTTCAAGATTTTGTTGCTTTAACCTAAACGGTCCTGAAAAAGGCTTTGATGGAAAAAATAATTAGTTGCTCTTATGCATGAGAGATTTTGATGTACCATTAAAGGTTCGAGCTCTGGATATGGATTTCTTATAGTAGAAAATACATTCCCCTTAACATGGGACTTATCGATGCAAATTTAGAGTTAGTTGGGTCTAAAAATGGACATGAAACACCGAGTGGAAAAGAAGAAGAGATTTTTATGTATATATCATCAAAGGTTTGAGCTTTGAGTATGGAGTTTCTTGTAGTAGCTAGGAAACACATTTTCCTTAATTTGGACTTATCGATGCAAATTTAGATTAATCAAGTCTCAAAAGATATCGAACACTGACAGGAAAAATAGAAGAAATTTTATTCAAGTGTACAAGGATCTTTATAAATTAAATATTAGATTTGGAATAATACTGTGCTTAAATTGAAGGGTAGTAATAATGTGCTTAACTAGGAAGGGTAAAGTTTACTAATTACGTTGATGTGAAAAAAATAATATATTTCTACTTTAATGTGATATTATCTTTTACAAAGAGCAGAACCACAATAAAAGTGTTATAAACTAATAGGTTTTTACTAATTTAATAACTTTAACTCAAGCATTAAATTTGTATTAATCAAAAGTCGTAATCAGAATTTTAATTATGAATATTTGTTAGATTATATATATATACCTCAGCTCCTTCAAATCATATGAATTTACAGAGTCCGTACAACAAAATCTTAAAAGTTCTGAATAAAAAGATTTAATTTCAAGATTCCATGTTTGGCCAATTATATGGAGACCAAGAGACCAATTCCTGTTAAACCCTTGTCTATTTTATTTTTTTTTAAAAATATTCCATCGGTAGTGTTTGATTTTCTTAGTTTGTATTAATGTTTGATTATATTTGGATTCGTTCTAAAAGGTTTCATATAAAGATAAAAAAATTATTAACAAAAGAAATATCATACTCGGGACTTGAATTCAAAATTATAATATAAAAATACAAAAATATGTAATATTTCACCACAAACCTCGTTGGTAACACTAACACTTTCTATATGAGTTCTTTAATTAAATTTGATTCCTCTCTCTAATGAGGATACTGTCTAATGTTCCAATTTCCACCTAACAAAAGGTGAAGAATTTTTTTATAAATATTTTTTTCAAATGGAATTGGATTCTCAATGATCTGATAATTGATTGTTTTTAATTAATCAATTAAATTTTAATTAATAATACATCGTACCAGAATCAATGAATAAATGCATGCTTCCATGGTGTCCAATGATTTAAAATTAATCGAAAAGCCTAAGTGAAAACGATACATTAAAATTCCAAATTTAATGAATATCTCCTTAATTAAGCAGTTAATAATAACTAAATTAAATATGAGCTAGCTCGATATAAAAATAATCTATAACTCAAGTTAAACTTCAAATTTTAATACTCTTTTTTTTTTCTTTTCAAATTTTGTGACTAGTCAAACTAAATCACATAAATTAGAATAACCGAGTAATATATTTCATAATTCTTTAATTCATAGTAGTCTAAGCACTAAAACTTGGAACAATTTCAATACTTCAAGGGTATTTTAGGCTATTTTCCGATAAATAAATAAAGGATGAACAATTCATTTTCTTAATTTGAAGAAAGGAAAAGTAATGGGCCCTTGGGAAGAAAGGAAAAGTAATGGGCCCAACATGTCCATTGGGCTTATGCATCAGTACTTATGTCATTTTGGGTCCTTACCAATCTCTACGTAAGAGGTCAAGTCAAATATGCAACTTTTTAAAATAATAAATATTACTTTTAGGTTATATTAATTACAAAGATATTGCACTATATATCCATGTTATTTCAGGGAAACATCTAAAGTAAAATAAATTAAATACCTAAAAAGAAAGAAATTTAGAAGAAAAAAAAACACCAACATTTGCATATATAGTGTGTGTTTACTTCATTAAATCACGTAATTATGAAAATTACATTAATTTAATTTATACGCCATCCCGGGTGTGGATAAGTTTTTATCAGTTATTATTCTAAGGGACTGAAGGGTTAAAATGCATAATTATCTCATCTACAATCTTAAATACGGAAAATGAGATATGTGAACCAGTGTGTTGGTTACGGATTCAACTGAATCAAGTAACCTTGGTTCAAACTATGAATTTATAGGAAGAAATTCATTGAATACATATGGATTATTAATTTAGAATCTAGTAAAGTTGAAGAATTAAAATTTCAAATTCATAAACCTCAAATTCTAATTTCGCTTCTGATGGGAACAACACATGCACATGAGTTAATCTATCTTAAACATCGGAGAAAATCTCGATTAATAATTTTTTTTGCACATACACCAAGAAAAAATCACGATAAATATTTTGAACCGGGACATGACGGTTGGCGGCAGGTTCACGTTAGAATAATGCTGTCGTGGAATGCACTTTGACAAGAATGACCCACACGATCAAATTGGTCATTTAGAGACTGGAGAATTCTTTAGGAAAAAGAAGAAAAGAAAAAGATATTAAGGTGAAATTAATTAAGGACACATCTACATGTGAATGTAACTTTATAATTAGATCAATCTTGTTAGTCATCAACCACAAAATTAATTTCAACTTGTTTTTACGATAAGAATAGGACTACTTTAATTATTTTAATTTAATGTAGAAAAAAACAAAGTTTTTTGTGGTATGCGTGTTCATGTTCATATAAAAATCCTAATACTTGTTCATGATTTCGTGTAAAGTCAATAACGGTGCATAAATTTTTTAAAAAAAAATTAGATTAAAGTTTTACTCATTGACTATATAAAAAAATAATACAAAAGCTTATAGTAGATATTATAACTTATAAGTATCCAGTATCCTCACTATGTATATGGATGACAAGTTACACTAATCATGTAAGCTTTTTCGTAACTTTGGTGAATAAGATTTAAATTCTTTTTTCGCGTGTAAATTCAATTTTATCGAGCTAGTGAGTAGTGAGTATAGTATATCAAATACCATATAGTTAAGTCAAAAAACATTACTAAGTGCTTCTTTTTCAGACCAAAGTTAGTTGCGTACAAAGTTGAATCTTGAGTTCTAGCTACATATTGATGGAAACTCAGTAGCTTTGTTCAATTATGAATGAATGTCATTTAGAAACCAATATATTATCTTTTCTAACATTGAGAATACATAAACTCAAAATTCTGAATATAGCTTATGACGTCTATAACTTATCAATGAATCTTTCTCCTTATCATTATTGGGCAAACATGATCACAAATTTTAATTGAAAAAGTAGAATTTAGAGTATAACTAGGATAAGATTGTGAAAAGGAAGTTGAAAGATGACAAGTAGAGAGGTATAGAAAACACTTCACATGGAGA